AAAAAACATTTCAAGTTTATTGGAGTGAGCGGCCGCCAATTTCTTTAGACATACGAGTGTACCCATTTGTTGAGTGTAGATGACCAGAATATTGTGAAGTATTGAATCTACAAGTAAAGAAAAATAGAGATGGTATGGTGATACGGTAGGCGATGGTGTGAGTTTCGGGCGAAGAATGTGTATAGACAATACTCTTCATTGGTTCTCTAGGAGTGAAAAATCTCTCCGCTTGTGATTATACAATTAACTTCTCACAATATATACGATTGTCACCATAAATTTGTATTTTCTGTTGGGGTCAATTAATTTAAGTCTCAGATTTTTGTGGTTTGAAGAGACCAAGGATTTAGATTTTGGAAATCATGTCGAATAGTTATACATTTTTACTGTAGATTACAGATGACCGTGTGGTTTCCTTTTCTCAACCTCCAAACTTTGAATGATCATAACTTTTGTTATTGTTTGACAATTTTAAACATCGCAATACAATACACCAAATTAACCCTCTCACAACTAAACTTCCGCACCAAAATTTATAAATAAAACAAAAGAAAATTGTATTCTTTTAAGAATCAGGTGAATAGGCGGGATTTACATGTCGAAACTCTAAATTGCATTAGGACTGGGGACTCTAAGTCCTAGTCCAACTTTCACAAAACCCAGCCAAATGAACTCTTGGAGTCAGTGCTTGAGAAAACAAAACGTACGTCCAGAGTAACTTACTTTCACCTATATCCTAGGTTGTTGTGAAGGCCATTCCATTTATTGGTATAAAATACACAAACCACAAGGCATTATTCACCATCCTCCAGCATGAATATGAAATTGAAGGACCAAATTAGTTGATTGTAACAAGTGTTTGTATATTCTATGCAAAGGATATCAATTCACTTTTAGAAGTTGAGAATACTTCCTTCCATTATCCTCCCAATTTTGTGAATCGGCTGTTATCATATAATAAAATACTAACATTTGGGCATATGATTTGATATGCAAAGAAGTCATCTAATCGAAGTTGACGAAGGGGATAGTTGATGGACGAGATTAGTGGATGGCGATTGAAAGTAATAGTAAATAATTCTGGAGAAATTGATATCAGATGTGTTTGGGGATTGAAAATAATGGCCAACTGGAGACCAAATACTTTTCAAGATAATCATATGCTATGTAATCGTAGCAGTCATGAAATAAAATCTATAAAGCTTCAAATAAATATATGTCAAATATATTAGAATGGACTGGATAAACAGCCTCAAAGATTGTAAATTTACAGTAGAAAAGATATAC